GTCCCATGATCCTCCAAGTAGAGGGGCTGTTCGGGTAGAGGCGTTGGGTCTGGGGAACAGGCTTCAAGAAGCTCATGAGGCCTACGATGTGTTATTCAGGAGATGTCATACCTGGTAGAGTCAGTGGAGTTGAGCAGTAGAGTCATCAGCATCTTGGTTTGCTCTAGTTTCGATAGCATGGGGATAGCTTTTCAGTGTACTTTGTAGCAGCTGCAGCAGCCGTGGCAATTTTCGTCCTCGACAGCGACAGCTGTCTTAGGTTATACCAGAGGGTGACGTGTCCCAGCGCGAATATCATGTTGAATGATGCCGGTGATGATGCAGATGCCGTCCGCAGATCATGCTTCGAGTGGCGTAGCGTTGGCTTCCGGGCTTCAGAGGGGCAGTGTTTCAGCTGTTTGCTGCATTCATTTTCGTGCCAATGGTTCTGCAAGGTATGATATACACGGACAGAAATGATGATGCATTGTTCCTTCCCCTTCCACGGCCTTTGTCTGAGCACGAGAACTTCACTAAGGGTCGCGCTTCGTCGTCCTCATCCTCATCCTCATCCTCATCCCCATCCCCATCCTCATCCTCATCCTCATCCTCATCCTCATCCTCATCCTCATCCTCCTCCTCCTCCTCCTGCTCCTCCTCTTCATCATCCTCATCATCACCCATCATCATCATCCCGATCTCGTTGTTTCCGTCCGAGGTCGACACAATCTTATGCCAGAAGCAGGGGCTTGCCAGAATGGTGTGGAAAAGGTGACGGTGATGATGATGATGATGATGATGATGATGATGATGATGATTATAATGTCAGGGGGAGGAGGACGAGGGCGAGGATGGGGGATGGACCAACCACTTCCGGACATCTAGGGTTTAGGGTTTAGGGTTTAGGGTTTAGGGTTGAGGGTTTAGGGTTTAGGGTTTAGGGTGGGTTCAGGTTTTCCGTTTGCTTATGTTCTCAGGTGGCAAATGGCGTGGTGGTGGCTCAGAACTTTGGAGACAGCGTGACAGACGCGGCTGCCACGTCCAAGCTGCGTGAGCTCTACCCCGGCAGGACCGTAGAGAGCCTGAACGTGGACCCTATCGCTTTCGGTGGTGGTGGGATCCATTGCTCCACCCAGCAGCAACCCGTCGGCATCACATCACCCACGTCTACCACCACGGTCACCACGAGCCTTCAGGATGGTTCTGTTCCAAACAAGACAGAGCGGGCCACCACCTTTGCAATTGTCTCAATGATTCTCGGGCTGCTTTTGCAGCCGCATGCTCTGACGGTCTGAGCCAGAGGTCGTGGTTCGTGCAAAAATAGCCGAACCATGCCTACGGCACTATGGCACCACGTGTAATTTAGGTTCAGCGCGATTCGGATTCCACCGTAAGGAAGCAAAAGAAGCAAGAGTAAGGGGAGGCAAGCGGGTGCTCTGTATGACAGTTTAATTGAAGCCGTGCGAAATCCCAGCTGTTCAGCTTGATCGTGTCCAAGAGACCAAAGAGTCCTTCTTTTCAGGCAGGGGAGGAAATCAACAGCAACGGTCATCAGCATTGGCCCCGATGAGCGAGCATCACGGGTAGGATGTCTTGGAACCATCTCTTCTCTCAGACGAGCCCTCCGAAGGGTGCAGCGCCATGAGGCCATATCTTTGCGCCCTCGCCGCAGGGCCGCTGTTCGGCACCTTCGTTGGCGCCCTCTTCATGCCTGAGGAGGCCGCCCAGCAAACACGGGTGTACATGTCCACGGCCACCAGTAATATCTGGGGCAATGATGCCGCCTCCGCTCAAAGGTCTCTGGCACTCTTGGCCAACACCATGGCCAAATACCAAGCCGTGGTCATCTACGTCAGCCCTGGTAATGTGGCATTCATGGAGAGTCAGCTGGACAGCGGTGTGCAGATCGTCGAATTTCAGGTTGACGATCTGTGGATGCGGGACACGAGCTGCATCTTTGCATACAGCAACTGCAGTGACTACACGGACTGCATTGAAAAGTACGGGCAGCCGGTGAACCATGCATGGCCATCTGCTCCTTTGTCTTGTGTAGACTTCAACTTCAACGGATGGGGAAACAAGCAGGAGCACGCGAACGATGCCAAGGTAGCTGCCAATGTAGCTAGCTTCTCGGGAGCAACGTATGTGAGATCTAGCTTGGTGATGGAGGGTGGTTCGGTAGAGGTGGACGGCGAGGGAACCGCCATCATCACTCGGAGCTCTGTCGTCAACCCCAATCGCAATCCCGGTTGGACGGAGGCTGATATTGAAGACGAGCTGTATACCACATTGGGTATCGAGAAGGTGATCTGGACAGATGGGATTGTGGGCATGGATATTACGGATGCCCACATCGACTTCTATGCGCGTTTCACGTCCCCGGGGGTGGTGGTGGCTGCCCGCGAGAACGACCACACCCTCTACGACTACACTGTGACCCGCCAGGTGATTGCTGACTTGCAGGCTGCCACAGATGCACGTGGGCGTCAGCTCACCGTCCACATCCTGGACAATCCAGACTCTCTGTTTACTCAGCAATTGATTCCATCTCAGTTCGGGATAAGAAATCATAAGCCCTGAAAAACAGCACATGTCTAGCCAAGCAGTCGCCCAATGGGCTTGCAGCTGGACCCTCGCCGGCCCGAGGTTCTGTCGGGCAGCAGTTGTCTGCATTGAGGGTTCGGGTTTAGGGTTTAGGGTCTAGGGCTTAGGATTTAGGGTTTAGGGTTTAGGGTTTGGGGTTTAGGGTTTAGGGCAAGATCCCCAAAAATGTCTTCCAACTTCCGCGTCGCCGAAGAATCACCCGAACCGACCTCGAAACGCTCAGCCTTCAACCCTGAAGCCCTAGGGTTCAGGGTTTAGGGTTTAGGGTTTAAAGCAGACCCCCTCTAGAGCCTCGGGAGCATGCTCTTCGAGTATAAAAATCTATAGAAGCAGTATAGAACCCGTTTAGAAGCCCTTGCAGCGCTTCGGGAAAGTTTTCAGAGCCCTTCGCGAACCCTTGTTACAGCTTGCACCTTCAAAGATTGCTTTTATTCAACCCTGGACCCCAAAACCGAAACCCTGAACCCT